AGAATATAGAAAAGTATAAACTAGAGATGTAACAACATGGTTTCCTGCTTTGGATTTAAACTCTGGTCCAAAATGAATTTCCCTGTTTAATTTGGGGTTTAGTTTCAGGGTTAAGCTCTGGTTTAAGTTTTCTTCCTGAGGTTCTGGACTTTAGTCTTTGCGTTTAGTTTAACGCTAAGTTAGAAATGTGTGATCTAGAAGGTACTGCAGGGGTTCAGTTTATAATCAGAGCTCTAAAGTTTCAAGAACCGAGTCAGAATTAACTTCTAAGTTTGATCAACTTGGAAAAGTTTAATCTGGGAGCTCAGCTCCAGATTCTTTAGTTTGATTGGAGATCTAGATTAGAGCAGAGTTAAACTAGAGGTGATCCTAAATCTACAGAAAAAAATAAGTCATTTTAGACTTAAGTCCAGACATTAGATCTAAGCTTCCATCTCATTCTTGTTGGAATTAAACAGTAGAGAAAAGTTTTGTCAGAAATAATCCCTGATTTTAGTTCTAGGATTTAATTTGTTTCGTATTTTGATTTAATTTCTAATTTAGTCCAGATTAGTCTGTAAATCCACTTCAAGAGCTTTTATTTATTCTCCTTTCCAGTGTTATTTAAACATTGGATCTATTGTTTTATCCCAGATTGTAGATCTTAGTTTAATTTGTTAGATTTAAGTAAGTTTTAGCTTTATTTCTTCTAAATAGAGTTAGAATTAGGATTGCAGCTTTTATTTAATTTTTTCTGATGTTTTCAGGTTGATAAAGTTTCCATACAAATCTCTGAAATGTAGTATTCTTTTTTTTTATTTATTTTTATTTTATTATTAGTATTTTTTGGAAAACTTTTTTGCTTTTTGTGCTGAAATGAACCCAGATTTTGTTCTCAGAGGTTAAATCTGGTGTTTTTGTGGCTCTTTAGTTTCTCTCTTCAGTCTGCAGCTTCTCCTCCTGCTCGCTGTCGATACCTGAAACCTCTGCAGCTGATTTTCTCCACAGCCATGAGCTCAGCGACCAGCTGGGATTGGGTTTGTTTCCAGATGAAGGGAGGAAAAATGGGCCTCAGATGTCTGAAACCTTCCAGTCTCTGCCTCATCCTGACTCCAGATCTTCTCCTTTATTCCTGTTTTCTCTCTGAAAATATTCACTTTTTTTTTTCTCCCTACTTGTCCCTCCATGTTTTCTCCCTCAGCTTCTTTTATTACCGACGTGGAGCTGATCTGACTGATTCCAGATCAGCTAAAATAAACACTTCCTGCTCCTTTCTGGCCCTTCTTCCAATCTCCAAACCCAAAATAAAATCGGCCAGATAAGCAGCAACCTTCTGGAAACGTGACTGTTTTAAAAATGTTTCTACTTTTCTATTTGAGCTGCAGTTATTCTATGGAGTTGTAAGAAACGGTGCCTTTTTTTTAATGTTTTTTTTTTTTAGCAAACAAACCAAATGATTTAAAAACTTGGAAATAATGAAAAGGCATCCCAGTCCATTAGAGCCGTATGAAAACAGAGGAAAAATTAATCTAAAAATAAAACTATTGATCAAAGAGATAAAGATGGAAAACAAGATGTTTCTCTCTTAAGAAAATTATAAACAATGAACTCAAAATAATTATTAATCAACATGAAATAAAGCCGGCTGGTGAATTTAAGTATCTGGGGGTAGTTTTAGTTTCAAAATTGAAATTTGACGCCCATATTAAGAAAATGACGAAAACTATAAAGACAAATATAAACTGTTTTCGAATGATTTGACCACGTGTATCAAATCAAGCTGCACAAGTATATTTACATGCAATGATTTTATCCCACATGTCTTATTGCTCCATCGTTTGGGCCCAGTACGGAAGAGAATTAGGGCCACTGGAAAAAAAAAAAAAGTTAACTGATTTTTTAATTTTTTTTATTTCATTATAGTATGGGGAAAAAGTCAGAATTCTGACTTTATTCTCAGAATTCTGACTTTTTTCTCAGAATTCTGAGAAAAAAGTCAGAATTCTGACTTTAATCTCAGAGTTCTGAGAAAAAAAAGTCAGAATTCTGAGAAAAAAAGTCAGAATTCTGACTTTAATCTCAGAATTCTGACTTTTTTCCCATGTTAAACTGAAATAAAATTTAAAAATCAGTTTACTTTTTTTTTTCCAGTGGCCCTAATCCTCTTCCGTAGCCCAGGCCACAAAGTCTGTTATTAAAAAATACAACATGATGACATTTGAAAATGTTCTAAATTTCTCATTTTTAAAAGCTATTTTTAAATGCCTTAATGGTCTTGCCCCTGAAGTAATCTGTAAATTAGTGGGAACTGCCGGATTAAAAGATGTCGGACATCAATGGGTCAGTCGGCCTTCTCAGTGAAAGCATCACATCTCTGGAACTCTTTGCCTCTGGAGCTTCAGTCACAGACTGATGTTCCACTTTTCTCCACAAGATTGAAAAAATGGCTCAAAGACAATCAAGAGTGTGAGCACTAAACTGGCTCGTACTGTACATTTATTTTTATGCATCTGTGTGTCGTTACTAACCTCCCTCCCCCTTAATGCTAACACCTTTAAAAGCCTAACCAGGGAAGAAGGCTACAAATTAGCCCATGGCTACAAGCCTTATGTACTTGGACACCTATTTGGTTGCAATGTTTAATTGTATTTTCCATGTCAAATAAACAAATAAATAGAAATAAAACAATCAACAATCATCAATTAAGAGATATAAACAGAATTAAAGGAACAAGGGGAAATAAAATATGGAGGTTTGCAGCTGCTAAAATCAGGGCTTTACTGGAAACCAGTTCAGCTGCTGGAATCATGAAGCTTTGGTGGAAAGTTTTTTTTTCTATATATATATATTTTTTTTACCTATAAAAACCCCAACATAAAATAAACTCAAGCTATAAAACGGGTTTTATTCCATAAAGGAGTCTCTTGAGTTCCTGATGCTGTGATTTTTATCGGATTTTCTTTCTTTTCTACAAATTAAATGGTTAGATTTTAATTTTCAGTCATTCAGGAAATGTTTAATTATTTCCCCCTTTTTGCTTCTTCTTCTTCTTCTTTTTTTTTTTTTTACAAATTCAGCAGGTAAATTTTAATTCTCATTCTTTAAAATTTACCCTCTAAAATTATTCCTTGAATTAAAAAAATATATATTTTTTTAAATAATCTTTGTCATTTTAAACTGATTTATTTAGTAGATTTAATTCTAAAACAGGAAAAATTCTAAGATTCCAATGAGTGAATAAATTAATACATTGAAAAAGGATGAAAAAGAAAAAAAAGAAAAATTATTTCTGAATTTTTCTGAATCTTTTTATGAAAATGATTTTAATGCTTTAGCCTCAAACTAAAATAGTTTTTTTTTGTTGGTTTAATTTCTTAAATTCAATCAAATGATTTTAAATTTTAGTTTAACATTTCTTTCAGCCAAAAAAAAACAAGAAAAACTAAGAATATCTGTAGATTGAAGAATTTAAACACAATAAAAAGGGTAATAATGCACGATAAACTGAATTTAAAAAATCAGCAAACAGTAAAACAAGTTTGTTGTTAAGAATAAATAATAATTAAAATGTTGCTCAAAGATTTGAAAAAAAAAAATACTTTCAGAAAAAGATTTAATGCATTTTTTTTATAAACATCTTCAATCTGTTGTTTATCATTTAGAAAAACTAAACTGGGTTTTCTAAAAACAGAAAAAAAATAGTTTATATAGAAAAAAAGGATTGATTAAAATGATTGAAATCTTGTCTATTTAAATTTTAAGTGATTTCTCCTGATTGTGTTTTATTGTTTAAGCAGCAGAAACTCTCTCCTCCTCTTCCTCCTCCTCTTCTTCATCATGTCTAGAGGTCCGAGGCGTTCGGAGCCAGCAGACTTTCCAGAATCCCCGGCTTGCTTTCCAGGAACCCTGCGTGAGAAACCTGGACGTCGTCCAGATGGTTTGTATCTGCAGCCTGACAGCAGCAGCAGCAGCAGGAGGAAAGTTTTTTCCAAATCAGGAAACTGAGCCCAGATTTTCTTGTTTGTTTATTCCAGTCGACTCTTTCTGGCCCCAAACATGGAAAAAAGGGAGGAAAAAAAAAAAAGGAAAACTTTCTGCTCCACAAACAGTCATGGTCTAAAGGAGAACCTGAAGTCTTCTCCAGCTGAACAGAGAAGCTCTTACTGACATTAAAAATGATCATCATTATAATAACGGAGATTATTAATGATTGTTAATCTTAATTCAGGAGATTCTCCAGCAGCCGCAGGAAAGTTCAATTCTAAGAACTCAAACAGTCTCTGTTGACATCAGACGATACTGTCCTGGTGTTCCTCCTCTTAAATCCTATCAGTCTTTAACAAGCCCGACTGAAAATCAGCCCCATAGCATGACTGGACCTCCCGTCATATATATATACACATATATATATACACATATATATATACACATATATATATATACACACATATATATATATACACACATATATATATATACACACATATATATATACACACATATATATATACACACACATATATATATATACACACATATTTATATATACATATACACATATATATATACACATATACACATATATATATACACATATATATATACACATATATATATACACATATATATATACACACACACATAAAAAAAATATATATATAACTAGTTGAAAATAAAGTTGTATATATGTATATATATATATATATATATAAATTAAATATATGTAAAAAAAATAAAAAATATATATATATATGTGTGTATATATGTGTATGTATATGTATATATATATATATACATACATACACACATAAAAAATATATATGCATATAAAATAAGTATGTATAAATGTTCTGTAGTATTTAAGACTGAAATAATTAGTTTATCTGCTAATTTTAGAGACTTTTTCATCAAATATTCTTAGAGCCAAATGACAATACTACAGCAATATTTACCCCCTAAAATGTTTCAGATTAAATAAAATACAAAACAAAACACTGAAGTCAAAAGAAGGCACTAAAGAATCTCAGAGTCTGAAAAACTACAGATCCTTTAATAAATGAATCTTTTACATCTGAACCATGAAATGTTGAACAAAGGGAGCTTTGAATCCAACCAAAGATCTGCAGAGAACCTCATCATAACCTACAGTAAGCGAACACAGCGCCATACCATTGGCCAATCGCTGCTTGTTGTAATATCTCCATGGCAACAGCAGCAGGAGAACACGTTGGAAGCGTCCCAGTGAATCTGCAGCTTGACAACAGATTTGACATTTTTCTGGGATTCATCTGTGTTCAGTGGAAGGAAAACATTTCAGAGGGTTTCAGCTCTGCAGCGCTTCTGATTCTGTGTGAATCTTTAGCAAATAAAAACGCTGCTTTCTGCTGCAGTTTGTCTCCCCCTGCTGGGCACTCCCCTGCCACTGCAGCTTCCTGCTGTTTCTTTGTTTCCAGACAAAGCAGATGGACATAACAAAAAAAAAAAGCTACAGATGTTGCTGGTTATTCATCACTACTGACAGTAAACCTTAAATAAACCTAATAATAATTTAGTAACACTCCTCTGATGTCTTTTCTGTAAAATATGCAGTTTGATGAGAGGAAAAAGAGATTGTTGACATTTCTCAACATAAATTGTGTTTTTTTTTTCTTTACTGTTCATCTTTGGGTTTAACAGAAAAATAGATAATTTATTCTATTTGCCCCTTTAGTTCAGCTCTTGCTTTTCCTTCCTGGATCACCACCCTGAGACCTGGTTCGTCTCTCAGTCCGTGTCCTGACCCTGGTCCGGTTCCCCGTCTTGGTCCTGGTCGCTCCCCTGATCTCCTGCGCCGTTTTTATGCCAAAAACCCGTCTTTCCACTCGCAGCACGGCGTGGAGCAGACACCAGGACTCCACGTCCAGCATGAAGGAGAAGAGCTCCAGCAGCCAAACGAAGGAGCGCGGCAGCATGGGATCCAGCTTGGTGTAATGACTGCTGCACGCCCTGCAGAGAAGAACGGCCCGTCTGGGATTACTATGACATCCCCTCATCGGTTATCCGGTGGCCGAGGCCTTAGAACTCACCAGGGATGGCAGGGGTGGAGGGGGAGATGCCAGTATTTTTGGTTGCATGGAGCCGTGGAGCCTTTCTGATGAGAGACGACGCCGTCGAGCTTCATGCGGTGCAGACTGGGTCCGTCGGATCCGTCCTCGTCGCCCCAGCAGAACTGGAAGCTGGAGGGCCCCGAGTCCTGGACGGCCGGCGGACCTGAAGCCAGCTTCTTCAAACACATCTGGATGTTTTCTGAGATTCCTGCAGGAAACACAGAGTGACTGTTGGTTATTTGAAGCTGGGCGTACGCTCTACGATTGTTTGCCCTTTTTTGGACCGACTTTCCAGTCGTGTGAGAATTTTTCAATTGGGCCGACTTTCAGCTGCGTTGTGTCGTGTACACGCGGGTAACGATGGGCGATCAGCCTCTAACAACCACCTCCCGATCAGGAATCGTAAGGTTGGGAGAAAATCAAACATATTTGGAATTCAGTCAACCGTCATAAGGTGGTCGTCGGCAAATTTCTAAGCGGGCAAACAAAGATTCTTCTTCCTCTTAAGCCGGGCATACACAGTGCGATGTTTTCACGCAGCTACAGCTCACACTGTACGAAGAAACTGCTGAGTTTAAAAGTTCACAGCTCACGATGTATGTGACTCGACGCTCTGATACGATCTTGCCAAGGCAGCGCATTTCACTCTAGTGAGCTTCAGATTCCTCTTCTACTGGTTTACGGATAGACGAGTCCGAGTAGCTCCATCTCACTGCAGAGCTGAGTCCCACCTGGTTTTTAGACGTACAGTGTGAGCAGGTAGATCGCATCAGAGAGTAGAATCACACAGTGTGAGAACAAATAGGGCTGTGCGATAATTCAATGATATATATCGATCGATAGACGTGTGGCGCAATAGAAATAAAGCGGGTCGATAAAAGTTCGATAAAAAAGAAACGCAGTTTTCCTTCCTTCTCATTGTAGCCTAGCATGTAGGTTTATGCTAGTCACTGCTTCCCCCTAACCAATCACAATCGTGGACCCAGGCACGCCGTCACAAAGCGCCGCCCTCTCAAACCACAACAGAGAGCACATGAAGATGTCGCAGCAAGGAGAGGCGGAGGAAATTGTTTCAAAGAAGGGTTTTTGTAGTTCGGCAGTCTGGCAGTCCATTTATTTATTTGTTATATTTATTTTGGTCACTTTTCTGGTCCCTTTAGTTTATTCTTTGTCAGTATTTAATAACATAACCCAGGTCTTTTAAGTTATTTTTCTTTAAAACAATTTTGTTATGGTTAAAAAAGTTGGTTAAATAAAGATTTAATTTAAATAAATTCTGTGTTTGTGATTTTTATTAAAATTAAATCATTTAGCAATATTATAAAAAGTCCAGGCAGAGCTGCACATAAAATATGGTTTCAAACTTTTCAATAATTATCAATATCGATCAATATGCATTTTTTTTTTAATCGATAAGCTTTTTTTTGCCCAGCCCTAAGAACAAACATAGTGAGCTGTGAACATTTAAAATCTGCAGTGTTGTCATACAATGTGAGCTGTAGCTGCGTGCAACGATTGAAAAAAAAGGAATGGGAAGCGGCTGTTCCAACTGTTGCATTTCCGAATTCTCTCGAGTGGTGCCCGACTTTACACGAGTGAATAAAGTGAATGTGATTGGTCGATTATCAAGGGGGCGGGATTGTTGTGGCGGAAGGTTCGCAAGCAAGTTTGATTGTAACCAGTTTCTCTGAAGCATCTTGCTAACCAGTTAGCATCTTAGTGCTAGCAGGTTCCCAATGGGAAATTCCATTGGGACCAAGTAGCACTAAATTGGTGACTTAGAAACGACGCTGTCAAGGAACGCTATGGACAGCGGAAACATGCAAGAGGAGGAGAGTTTAGTGTCGGAGGTCGTGGATGAGTCTCCTCAGTCATCCATTTTTTATTTAGAGGAGGAAAGCGGGGACGAAGATGTTGTGGAAGAGGACGCCAGGGCCGCAGAAGCTTGGTTTGGTGTAGAAGGCTTCCAGCCGTACATGTTTGAGCCCTTGCCTCGCAACGCTGCCAGTTCTGTTAGCTCTACGCCTGCCGAAGACACAGACGTCCATCCCTGTGAACACTGGGACGCAACTCAATTGGAAAGGAAAGGATTCTGGTTTCAACCGTTGCGTATATTAGCTGCGACATATGAATCAAGATGCTATGACCGAAAACATTTGATTGACAGACGATCGTTGATATATGATTGGCTGAATTTAGGTATTCAGGCTGACGTAGAACTAAGAAAAACACATTTTAAGGCAGGATTTTCTTTTTTTTTTAATAGAAATTTTCTAACTTTTGGGACAATATTATCTGATTAAATTTATATACATGTTTAAGCCAGAATGATTTGACATTTAAATATGACTACCATGTGACTTTAATGTTCCTCAGATTTTCTTTTTTCTTAAACAGAAAACAACCAAACGCCACATGATGGTGAAAGTTAAGCAGATGTCGTCTAAACCTCAAAGTAAAACTTAAGAAAATGAAACTGTATATCAGTCGGCTGAGGTTGAATTTCTTTTCTGATTTCTTTTTCCTTATGAACAAGACCAAACAGAAAACCAAAAGGTTCTTACTTCTCCTCTTTGTGACATAAACTCTGTCCTTCTTGTTTATGTAGAACAGTTTCTTTCCTTTCCACTGTTTCCTGTAAAGAAATAATCGGCGTTAACAAGGTTGTTGAAGAAATTAGAATCATATGAACCCTTCTGATGCCTGCAGCCTCCAGAGAAGCAGAAACCCTGAACCCAGACTTGCAGGTCTCACCTGGCGATGTCCTGGCTCCTCCTCTGCTGAGCCTGGACCAAAGCGGCCTGAACCAGTTTGTACCACTTCCTGAAGCTGAACAGGTTTCCTGTGATCGAAGAAACAAACAGAATAAAGCTGATTAGAGTGAATATGTATGCAGACACTTAACATAAACCATGTTTGAAGATAGAAATGTGTATAAAACCAGATAAGCAGATGAACAATTAGAAGAATAAAACCTTTTAGGAATGCCGATATGTTTCAGAAATTGAACTACCTATTCAGTAAGCAGACATGGAAAAATACTTCCAAGTGTTTCCCTGATGGAGCAGGAACAAAAAACACCAACATCTGTTGTGCAAGAACAGAGTGCAGATTTCTTGGACTCTTCTCTCTGCAGGGCGACTCTGGGGCCACTCACGCCTGCTAGTGAGCATATTCTCCCTCTGAAGAGCCTTGTAAACCCTTTATACACAAGCATACTCATGGATATCTACGACAGGCGTTTGGTTCCAGGTGTCCACACTGAAAAAAATGAAACTATAGATAAGTAATTTTTTCTTAAAATAAGTGCATTTGTTCTTGGATTGAGGAGGTAAACAAGAAATTTTGCCAATGGAACAAGACAATTACACTTAAAATAAGAAAACTCAATTTCATTGTCTTATTTCAAGTGCATATTACCTAATTATCTTATTTCAATGAGTAAAAATACTCATTCCATTGGCAAACTACCCCATTTACCTACTCAAATTAAGGGAAATACACCTAATTTAAGAAATTTTTAGTTATTTCCAGATCGTTTTTCCAGTGCACGGATACATGATGAGACTAAATACTAAGCTGCAGCTAAACTGCAAAAAATGTAAATCTAAAGAAGTCCTTTTTTCTTAAAATAAGCTAGTTTTTATCTTGCATTAAGGAGGCAAGTGAGACTCTTTGCCAATAGAAAAAGACTATTTACATTTAAAATAAAAATAAAACAATTGCATTGTCTTATTTCAAGTGCATATCATCTGATTATCTTATTTTAAGAGTAAAAATGCTAATTCTATTGGCAGATCATATTGAAAATATACTCAAATTAGGGCTAATATTGACTGGGTGTCTGTGGGATCCTCACTCTTCTTGTGGTCAATTTTTTCTGATTTCTTTGTTTTGTTTTCCGGTTTCTTTCACTCTCAGTTTATGCAGGTGCTGAAGGCCTCTACAGCAGCAGCCATTCAAAATGTCTCTTTCCAGTCAAACGCAGGCGAATGGCAGCTCACTCCCCTGCAACTACCAGCAAAATCCCCTCCATCAACCCAACATATTGTTTTTTTACTCTGACTCCACCCTCTCACTGAATCAGAGTCTGACCAGGTGATGATGCTTCTCTTTAGATCCTAATGTCCACAAATCATGACAGAAAGAATATTTTAGTACAAAGATTGAAATTTAAAGGCACACTATGCAACATTTTTCAGTTAATTAATGTGTTCCATAACGTTTTGGATGATTAAATGAGTCATTTCAGGTTGAACAAAGGTATTCTCGGCCACCCTGGTGGTCTGTGGGGGAAATACTGCACTTGCAATTGCAGGAGCCCTCGGCCCGCACCCACAGGCTCAGAAGTCTCGCGAGAGTCGGTCTTGCTTTACAGCGAGAACTGCTACACCCCCCAGTTAAAAGCATGCTCGTTGCTAGCACAGTGGCGATCTTTGTGCAGTTATCATGGCGGAACCAGCGTGAAAACAGCGAAAGCCCATGTCGGAGCAGGCAAGAAAGAGGAAAAGGGCTCCAGACAGAGAGAGGAGTCGTACACGGGTGAACATCGGGCAAGCTTTTTCTGAATGGCGAGAGCTAAAATAAAAAGAAGGCTGCAAGGCTGACGCGGACCTCGCGTTTCTGCTGATGCGATTGTAAGTAACATTGGAATGGTTTCTCTCTCTCTGTGTGCATGTTCATACTTTCACTGTGTTAGTCATTCGTTGCGTTCGCCTGTCTGCTAAGCTCAAAACAACCACGCCTGGCTTGACGGAGAAACCAGGAGAACAGCTGAGCATATTTACGACAGTGCACTTTTAATTTCGCCCTCTGGGGGGAGCCTCGCTGGAAAATCAACCCCGGTTGCATAGTATACCTTTAAAAAGGAATTATAGGGGACCGGACAAGGAAAGTGGGGACATTTTGAATGGCTACTACTGTAGAGGTTACTTTATATATCTTTTATTATTATTTATTATCTTTTCCCCTTTCTCTCTCTCTCCCCTTAATTCTTAGACTGCAAAAACGATCTAGAAATAAGTAAAAACTTCAGATTTTAGGAGGTAAGTAAGATGATTTGCAAATAGACTTGATATTCTTACTTAGATAATACGCACTTGTAATAAGACAATAAAATTGCTTTTTCTTATTTTAAATGTAAATTGTCTTGTTTCATTGGCAAAGAGTCTCACTTAACTCCTCGATTCAGGAAAAAAAATAACTTATTTAAATTTAGTTTGTAGCAGTGTATAAAGCAAATATTGTTCAGAGTTGTATATACACTGCAAAAACAATCTAGAAATAAGTCAGTTAAACAGCTAAATAAGATGATCTACCAATGGAATTAGCATTTTTACTTTTTATCAGATGATATGTACTTGAAATAAGACAATGTAATTGCTTATTTTAAGCGTAAATAGTCTTGTTCCATTGGCAGTGTCTCACTTAACTCCTCAATTCAAGAAAAAATTTGCTTATTTTAAGAAAAAATGACTTATTTAGATTTCCAATTTTTGCAGTGTAGCTGCAGCTTAGTACACTGCAAAAAATTGAAATCTAAATAATCTAATGAGACTCTTTGCCAATGGAACAAGACTATTTACATTTAAAATAAGAAAACATAATTGCATTGTCTTATTTCAAATTAATATTATCTAATTATCTTATTTTATGACTAAAAATACTCATTCCATTGGCAAATTATCTTATTTACCTGCTCAAATTAATGGTTAATACACTTAATTCAAGACAATTTTTCTCATTTTTAGATGGTTTTTGCAGTGTATTTAGTCTCATCATGTATCCATGGACACCTGGAACCAAACGCCTGTGGTAGATATGCATGAGCATGCTTGTGTATAAAGGGTTTAGGAGGCTTCTTCAATAGCAGGCGTCAGTGGCCCCAGAGTCGCCCTGCAGAGAGAAGAGTCCAAGATATCTGCAACTCTTTCATTGTTTTCTTCTGTTCTTGAAGCAAGAGGCGTTTATGTTTTTTGGTTTCTGCTCCATCAAGGAAACACCTGGAAGTATTTTTCTCTCTTACCTCCTCAATTCAAGATAAAATGCACCTATTTTAAGAAAAAAATGACTTATTTAGATTTCCATTTTTTGCAGTTTATCCCCTCTACCTTTCCGTCTGCATGTTGGTTGCATACGTTCTCAATCTGTAAAAGTTTTGATTGATTAGACTTGTATATATATATACACATATATATATATATATACACAATACATATATATACATACATACACATATACATATATATATATACATACATATATATATATAATAAAACTATATATATATAAAAAATATAACAGATATAATATATTATAATAAAAAATTATATAAATAAAATAAAAACCATAAAATTTAAAATAATAAAAAAAAATAAAATAAAATATAAAAAAACATTTAAAAATATATTAATATATAACTTATATATAATAAATATAAAAAATTATAAAATTTAAAATAAAATATAAATAAAATTTTATTATAATAAAATATAACAAATAATAAATTTTAATTCCTTTTATTTTTTTGGGGAACTTTTTTTTTATTATTTTAATATATAAAATAAATTAAAATTAAAACTTTATATAACATATATATAACATATAATATAAATAATTTTATAAACATATATATAAAACATATATATAAAATAAAATTTATATTATAAAATAAATATAAAAATAAAATATAAAATATATATATATAAAAAAAAATAAAAAATATATTAAAAACATATATATAAAAAATTTTTAAAACATAAATAATAAAATACAAATACATATATTTATAAAATTAAAATATTTATAAAAAATATATATTATAAAAACCCATATATATAAAAATAAAATATATATATTATGTTTTTAAAATTTAAAATATCATAACATAAAAATATAATTTTTAAAAATATATATAAAGCAATATATCTTATAAAAAATAAAAAATATCATATATTTAAAACCCAAAATTTTTTTATAAAATTATACTATATTATAAAAACATATAAAAAATATAAATTTTAACATATAATAAAATAAATATAAAACATTATATTTTAATCCCACTTTTATTAAAAAAAAAAGTTTTGCTCCCCCCCACCCAAAATTATTGGAATCAGGTTTCCAATCACTTCCATGGCCACGGGTTTGGTATAAATTAAAGGGCCCTAGGCATGCAGATTTTTTTTTTTAAACATTTGTGAAAGAATGGGTCGCTCTCAGGACTCAGTGAATTCCAGCGGGGAAAACGTGATGGGATGCCCCCTGGGGAAAAAAAACCCCCTTTGTAAAATTTCCTCTCCAAAAATTTTTCCCACGTAAAACTGTCAGTTTGTATTAAAAGAAAATGGAAGTTTTTGGGCCGACAGAAAAACTCACCCAAACGAAGGGGTGGGGCCCAAAAACTGACGGAGGGGGTCAGGGGATGCGAGGGCGCAAAAGGCAAGGGGTTTCGCCAACTTTCTGCAGATCAATCACTACAACCCCCAAAATTTTCTTTGGGGCCTTCAGATTAGCAAAGGGAACATGCGCAGAGAGTTTCATGGAAGGGTTTTCCCGGGGGTTCGAGCAGCTGAAACCCAAGCCATCCCTTCACCAAGGGAAATGCAAAGCGAGGATCGGGGGGGTTGAAAGCCCGCCCCCAAAGGGGACTTTTAGAGCAGTGGAGACGGGGTTTTTGGGATGACGAATGCGCTTCCCCTTTGGGCAATCTGATGGAGGGGGCCCGGGGGTTTGGGGGGGGGTTCCCAGGGAGGGAACTTTGCAAATGCATTGGGGCCAATTTTAAATTTGGGGGGGGGGGTTTTGGTTTTTGGTTTGGGGGTTTTTTTTTAGGAGGGGGTTGGCCCCTTATTTCCCCGGTAAAAAAGGAATCTAAAAGCTTCACCCCATCCAAAAGACTTTTTTGGGACAATTCCATGCTCCCAACTTTGGGGGAACATTTTGGGGAGCGGGCCCCCTTTTCCTCTTCCAAAAGACTGTGCACCGGGTGCACAAAGAAAGGGGTCCATAAAGACAGGGGATGACAAGTCTGGTGGGGGATGAACTTGACGGGCCTGCACAGAGTCCTAAACCTCAACCCGATAGAACACCTTTGGGATAAAATTAGAGCGGAGAACTGAGGCCGGGCCTTTCGCCCAAAACATCAGGGGACCTCACAAATTTTGGGAAAAAAAAAAAAAACCCCCAAAGGGGCCCCCCAAAAAAAGGGGTTTTGGGGGGGGGACGCTTTTTAAAAAAAGGGGGGAAAAAAATTTTTTTTTTTTTGGGGGGAAAAAAGGAAAAAAATTTTTAAAAAATTTTTTTTTTAAAATAATTTAAAAATATATATAAAATAATATATTAAAAATTTTTAAAATATAAAAAATAAAAAAAAAATTTTTAAAAAAATATAAAAATAATAATATTAAAATTAAATTTAAAAAAATATTCATATTTTTTACATAAAAAAATTTTTTAAAAATTTTTTAAATTAAAAAAAAAAAAAATTTTTAAATAATATAATAATTAAAAATTTAAAAAAAAATATAAATTTTTACAATAAAAAAAAAAAATTTTTTTTAAATTTTTTCCTATTAAAAATTTTTAAATCCCCAAAAATAAAAAAAAAAAAAAAAACAAAATTTTTTTTTAAAAAAAAAAATTTAAAAAAACCCAAAAAAAAAAATTTTAAAAAATTTTTTAAAAAAAAATTTTTTCCTTTTTTTAAATTTTTAAAAAAAAAACCCCAAAAAAAAAAAAAAAAAAAAAAAAAAAAAAAAATATAAAAAAAAAAACCCAAAAAAAAAATTAAAAAATTTAAAAATTTAAAAAAAAAAATTTTAAAAACCCCCCAAAAAAAATTTTTTTAAAAAAAAAATTTAAAAATTTTTTTCCCCAAAAAAAAATTTTTTAAAAAAAAATTTTTTTTTTTACCCAAAAAAAAAAATTTTTAAAAATTTTAAAAACCCTTTTTCCTTAAAAAATTAAAAATTTTTTTTTAAAAAAAAAAAAAAAATTTTTTTTTTTTAAAAAAAAAATTTTTTTTTAAATTTTTTTTTTTTAAAAAAAAAAACCCCAAAAAAATTTTCCCCTTTTGGGGGGAAAAAAAAAAACAAAATTTAAAAAAATTTTTTTTTAAAAAAAAAAATTTTTTCTAAAAAACCAAAAAAAAAAAAATTAAAAAAAAAATAAAAAAAAAAAATTTTTTTTTTTTTTTTAAAAACCTTTTTTGGTTTTTTTAAAAAAAAAAAATTTAAAATTTTTAAAATTTTAAAAAAAAATTTTTTAAAAAATTTTTAAAAAAAATTTTTTATATATATATATATATACACATAATACATATATATGTATATATTTCCCCCTGCAATTTGTTTCCACTAATTGAAATGTCTTTAAATCCACATTAACATGAATCATCAATGCTCACATTCAACGACACACAGGAGCTCTTTAAGCTGGGCACCGTTTCATTCACAACACCTGTCCCATCAACCAGGAATCAGAAATACTTTAATAATCCCTTCTTGTGAAAGTATATCTATCTGTCTATCATCTAGTTTAGTAAGATCTATTCCTGGAGCTATATTAGAAAAACAGGACATACAAAAAAGAAAAGAACGACTGAATAATATCAAAGATCAGATGAGGACCAACCTGAGTCACCATGGGAACCAACCTCATTAGACAAATCCCTGAAACACAGAAGAGACAGTCAGAGAGGTGCAGCGGGGGGAGGAGGTCTTCCTGACCAGAGCGGACATATTACCACTCGGTGTGGTCGTCCAGGCCGAAGAACACCTTCATGGTGACGATGATGAGGGCGGCGGCCTGCAGCTCGTACTGCGGCAGGACGAGACGCTGCGAGACTTGCACCGTGTGGCATTTCTCATCGAGCATGTTTGCGCGGTCCATAAGGATGCAGACCCACTTGTGCAGCTCGTCTGAAGACAAAAAAACGTGAGGAAGGAGGTTAGAGGTCCTGGTGGTACCGATTGGTCCTTCAGGCGGGGGTAGGGTTTTACCGGGCAGGTTGGCGTCGATCAGGTAACGCAGGCAGAGCCGCGCTGGGTGGAGCAGCGTTTGTGGGACGATTGGAGGGAAAGCAGGAAGCTGCAGGAAGAGAATCAGGCTCTGGGCCTCTTTGTGGACGGAGCGGTAAGACGGGATTATCTACAGGAACCAGAGGAAAGAAGCAGAACGTTCAGACGCCAAAATACCATAAATCCTTAATTGAAGCAGTTTGTACCAATTAGTCTCCCACTTTCAGAAGGATCGTTCTTAACCGGACTCTACTGCAGCTGTCAAAATATTAAGATTGAATCTGTTTACAGTTTAGACAAGAAGAACATTTATCTTTAAATAATTAGAACTAGGGCTGCAACTAAGGATTATTTTGCTAATCTGATTGATCTGTCAATTATTTTTTTGATTAATCGATTTATAATTGGATAGCCAAAAGGGTTTTTACAGAATTAAACCAGATGACACTTATGCTGCGTTCAGACCGCATGCAGCAGGAGCAGCAAAATCGCGTCTGCTGCTTCATTTTTTATGCTTGTAAAAGTTTTGTTCTGACGCGCCTGGAGTAACCTGACTCCGCCAGATGGATTTGCTCCTCATATCCATCTGGAAACCTTCCGTTGAAGTAATTTTGGGAAGGGGCGAAAATTAGGGTTGGGAATTGAAAAGATTTTCACGATTCCGATTCCCTTTTCGATTCTATGCAACGATTTGATTCTTTATCGATTCTTTTTTCGATTCCAATTTGGGGAAAAAAGAACAAACAGTTTGATTATCAGCATCAACTTTGTTTACTTAACTATTGCACAATCTTACAAAATCAACCAGATCAAGATGTCCACAGGAAATGTAAAACTGGAGTAACATCCGTGTTTAAATGAATAAAAATACAAGAACAAACTTAATAACCAACAATGTCTAATAACAAACGATGGGATTAGGGCTGCAACTAACGATTATTTTAAAAATCGATGAATCGGACGATTATTTTTTCGATTAATCGATGAATCGGACAAAAAATATTTTTTATAACAACCTCTTTATTCCAAAATAAACATTTTAGACAGAACAAACAAGCACACAAGTACAGGTTGCTCATTAACTGTACTGGTGCAATATGAAAAATAAATGTTTGTGTTAAAACTACGCAAACTTACATGAGAAATGTAGCTGTACATCCACAAAATATAGGGTACTTTGTTTCATAAAGCGCAAAAAAAGACATTTTTGTTTTTAAAAGCCCCTAAGGGGTTCAAACAATAGGTCCCCCCATTTCAACAAATGAGTTTTTTTTAGACTAGAAGAGTTCTGCCTTTTAAGACAGGAAAGTATAGCAGTTAAAGTTGCTACTTGAGAAAATACTGAACCATAGAGATAAAAATAGCCCTGTGATTCAAATTATAAATTGTATTTGGAATAAAAATGAGAGAACTAGGGGTGCTAAAAAACACATCCTCCAAAGACTCCAATTTACATGGGAATGTGGCATATAATTAATTGACATATTACTGATCTTGCTGGATTTTATTCTGCTTTACTTCCATAAATTCCAGGATCTTCTTTACTTTATCTTTGCCAGAAGATTTAAACTTTAAAAGCCTTGCCCTCATAATTTGCAAGTTAATTTATTTATAAAGTAAATGTAAACGCTGCTTAAGCTAATTGAAATGAAATTAAAAGTAAAATAAGTAGCCAACCTTATCACTGTCTGTAACCTACTAACACAGTAAGGAAAGCATCAGATGAGCTACCTGAGAAACTAACGTTACGTTTCCCCACTTTAAAACCAAACAAACATGGTGGTTCCGTGCCATGTTAATTTCTTTTGAAAAAAGTTGCATGTTATCACTTTTTTCGCTTTACAAAGCGCAGGCTATTTTAATTATTGTGATCAATTTGCGCCGTCAATCCCGGTGCATGCGCGCTTCATTTGCAGTCTGGACGCTGAGGCTCTGACTGCAGCTGAGAGGGACTCCTGCGGGAGCGGGGGGATGCGCCCCACGGCAGAGTAGGAACGATACATGCTTTCACGTAAGAGTCTCCAAAAGCCGCCAGTGAAACCGAAAAAAGTCGCCAGATTTGTCGCTAGTCGCTTTTTTGAAAAATAGTCGCTGGAGGGGTCTGAAAAGTCGCTGAGTTGGCAACACTGCTCCTGCGTCGCTGACTCGCTCTGCCATATTTTTTTTTCTTCCTCTTTCTGTCAAGAGGCAGTGATGACGGCGCGGCGGATGACGCAATAATCGCGCGACACAACTAATCGATGATGAAATTCGTTGCCAACGCTTTTAAAAGTCGATTTTTATCGATTTTATCGATTCGTTGTTGCAGCCCTAGATGGGATAATAACCTATTTTAAATAACAAAAAATACTAATTATAAAACAGTAGTAGGGAAAATTAACAGTTATTTTGCAGAAAGATGAGCATATCTGCTTTTTCTGGAAGGATACAGGATCTTTCAGGGCTTAAGGTGTCTCCAACCGTGAGAAAACCCTCTCAGATGGGATGGAGGAAGCCTGCACACAGAGGTACTTTTCAGCTAGTCCAGATAGCAAGGGCAGCGTATCTTGCTTGTTCCACCAGCAAGTGTGGCGCTATCCCTGCAGGGGATGGAGGGCAAGGTTTTACAGAGCTGGATTTCCTGATCTACCCTCTGGGCTAAGGAAAGACGGGGCTTTGATTCACAAAGTGACCGCAGCTCGTTGTCTTCCTCCTCGAATAGTTCTTCCAACTTGCGTAACTTGCGTAACTTACGTAACTTACGTAAAAAACGTGACGTAAGTCGTGCTCCACAGAGCCGGCGCTCTAGGCTCTGGTGCTGCGGGAATCGAAAAAAGAATCGTTCAGCGAGCTGCCAAACGATGCCATGGAATCGGAAAATACGGAACCGGTTCTGAACAGGAACCGGTTTTCGATTCCCATCCCTAGCGAAAATACTGGTTAGCTGATTGGCCTATGTTGGTGATAGACGGGCCAAATAAACCAATCAGATCAACGAAGCATATGACGTACTAACAGAGCGACGACGAAAACACAACCACAAGCCAGGCACAAGCCAATTGATAGATCAAACTCTTGCCGAAACCAGTCGGGAGGAGAGCAAAAACATCTTTTCCTCTGAGAAAAGCCTCCAGAGCAGTGTTTTGCTCTTCTTTCAGTGAAGAAATACTCTGTTGCTCGATAGCCACGCTAACGCTACTTTCATCGGCTGAAGCCGCCATGTTCTTTAGACTGAACTGTCGCGCTTCTCGTTGGTCACACCTCAACCCGCCTCAAAGCCAACGCTGATTGGACGTTCGTTTGGTGAACGGCTCCAAATTTTCTTTAACGGAGAGTCTCCAGACTGATTAGCGAGTGAAACGTGGGTCTGATGCGCGTTGGGCGGAGCTACCCAATCATTTCTTTGCCTGGAACAATGGCAGCTATATTTGCTGTGATCAGTGGGTAAAAAGTAGTTTTAATATGCGTGTCTGTTGTGAAGTTAGCGGCTATACTGCATCAAACTTTTTTCAGATGCTGGTAGGAAACATATATTCCCAGTTCTGGGATTTAAGCCGCCTCTAATGCCATTAAATTACTTATTTCTTAATTGTATAACTTTGGTTCTGTTTCAGATTTTCCAGAGTTAAATGTGGATGTTTCCAAACCATGGTGCTGCGACCTCTTGTTCTCCTAATATGCTAAACCTTTCAATAACAAAAAAAGCTCTTAATGACATTAATGTGTAAAAGCATAAATAAATGAAGGGGCAGATGCTTTTTTTTTGCTGCTGAAATCACGTGCAGTGTGAACGTAGCATTACCGTCAGCACCCCAAACTTCCTTCAGGGTTCCTACAGCATACGGCAAGTTCAATTCAAGACTTTTTAATGCCACTTGAAATAAAAATTTAAGACCAAATTCACAAGAAACACAAGAAAAACCTGCTTGCGACAACTTAACCCAAAGGTTTATTTTAACATAAACCACTGCACTAATGTTTCAAATGTTGAAAGCTTCCCATACAGGAAGAAAGCTAAAAAAACACAAATGACAGATTTATTTGAACAAATATTTAACTGAATTCACAAACTTTGTTTTAGCAGGGAACAAAACAAATCAGTTTTAAAGCCACAACATAACCAGTGCTAAGTCTTTTTAGCAGCTATTTTTCTTTGTATGGTTTTCTTAGTATGTTTGATTTGGTGATAAGTGGAGGCGTTGCAGAGACAAGGGTGGAACTGGAACTACCGGCTCTTTCTCTCTAACTCCATTTTGACGCTTTGTGTTTCGTGCTTCGCATGTGCGACTCCACTGCCTTAATTCCCATCGTTCTGAGCTTGAATGAGTTCTTGCACTAAATCCACTGAGCCTCATGTATGTTCCCTGGTTTTATCCATGGAGAAAACTCTTGGCTGGAGACAATTTTGGTTACATTCACACTTGCTCATGTTTTCCAGACAAAAAGTTTATGGTGCATCTCCCAAATGTCCCGGCAGCAACAACGCTTTATTGGTTCCGCTATCGGGACGGAACCAATAATGGCGAGCCGTTATTTTTTTAAATAAATAAAAAAGATAAATTTTAATGTTTTATTTAGATTACAAAAATAAATCGTAATAAAAATAATCCTATTTATGATGTTTTAAAAATTAAGACCTACGAAAGACTGATTTAAGACATTTTAATACCAATTAAGGCCTTAGTTTAATTTTGAAGAATTCAATGCCTTTTAAGACTTTTTAAGGACCCGCAGGAACCCTGTTCTTATGCTCTAGTAAATTATAATTTAGTCTAAAAAGCATTTTTATTAAATGCAGACTTTCCAATGTTAGCATGAGTCTTGCAGAGTGAAAGTAGTTCCCAGCAGCGCCAGCGACCAACCTCGACATTGAAAAGAAGAGCCTCAGATCCACACAGCTTCATCTCGTCGGGAATTTCCTCGTAGGCGGTCACATACGGGACGTGGCCGTCTTTCACCAGCCTGAAAGCGGCGCAGGTCAGGGTGAATCGCTGAGTTAGGAGCAGCTATATTTAAGGAAAACCTTTAATGAACCTCTAGTAGCTTCTGGAACTTTGACACAGCGGTGCTGCCTATTGCACCACTGAGCTGCCTGGTTTTTTATGTGAATTACAAAAATAAAATCCTATTTATGACAATTTTAAGACTTACGAAAGACTGATTTAAGACATTTTAATACCAATTAAGGCCTTATTTTTATATTGAAGAATTCAATGCATTTTAAGGCTTTTTAAGGATACGCAGGAACCTTAAAAAAGTTTCAAGGTATAAATACAGTAAATAAAGAACTTCAACCCACCTGAGCAGGTCGCTGAGCGTCAGAGCTTCGCGGCTCCAAACCAGAGCCAGGTGAATCAGAGCCAGAGTCTTCCTCATGTGCAGCAGTCTGCGGATGGGGTTCGATGACGCGGTCGAGGACGGACTTTTGCTCACTGGTCCCATCCAAGTGCTGGTACTCTCTGAGATTTAAATTCCATTCAATTCAGTTTATTTCTATAGCGCCAATTCACAACATGTCATCTCAAAGAACTTTCCAGTTCACCAGATCATCCAGTTAAATTGATTCAAAGTTTTCTATCTAAGGAAAACCAGCTGATTGCATCGACTCATTGACTCTTCAGCAATCCCTCACACTAAGCATGCTTGTAGCGACAGTGGAGAGGAAAAACTCCCTTTGAACAGGAAGAAACCTTCAGCAGAACCAGGCTCAGTGTGAGCGGCCATCTGCTGAGGCCGACTGGGGTTCAAGGAAATACCAAAAGCAGCTGTAAAAGGCGGGAAAACACACAGCCAGGCAGTCGAGCTCCGAGCCAGCTCCCATGTCAGAGGATGAAGAGAGCACATCCAGTTAGTCACAGTCAGAGAAACAGGACTACACTGGAAAACAGGCCAAGCTCCAACATCTAGAAACAAAGGTGTTGATGGCAGCAGCACAGCTGATATTTCTCTCCAGGATGGAGTCACAGCCAAACAGGAACAGACCAGATGAAGCTACTATGAGAAAAAGCAGAGAGAGCAGAACGTTAGAGATTGAACTAACAGATTCTGTAGAGAATAGAGATAGAATGAAGCAGAATGATGAAAAAGGGGTCCCTATGTCCTCCAGCAGTCTAAGCCTATAGCAGCATAACTATAGAGATAGCTTTTAAACCGTTATGGTTTAAAAGCTGAGGGGTTTGGGCGTGCAGTTGGAGCAGTGGTTAGCGTGCACGACCCCGGTACTTTCTCACTTTCCTGTCAGCCTACTGTCAAAAACCGAGCCACTAGTGCCATAAAAAGTTTTCACAAGCCATAATTGCATTCTGAGCCTCATCATTTACAACAGCTCTGCAGTAGAGGAGAAGCAGGTTGATGAATTGGACGCCTGGTTCTGAGGTCCGTACCTGTATTAGAGTCAGCTGAATCAGCTGAATCAGACAGACCGGACCTGCTGTCCAAGGAACTCCCCGACAGCGGGAAATCTGAAGCACTGTCCGAGTCCGAGTCCTGCCCTTCCTGACGGGGAAAAGGAATATTTGGCTTTAATGAATCCATTTCAAATTTCCTTTAATAATCTAACAAGAAACTAATTCATATTTTTAGAAGAAAAAGCTTTATCATAAATTATATATGACTTATCTTTCTGTTGGAACCAAAAACATAGTAACGATAGTGGTAGTAATTTTAGTTCATGTTTTCACCACTAGAGGTAGCTGTGGCTAACCTGACAACAGCCAAATGCATGTCTCGCTCCGCCTAGCTCCACTCACATACATCTGGGAACCCGCTCATTGAAAGTGATTTCCCCAACCGAATTTATGGTCTGTCCAATCAGGACGCAGGGCGGGTGTGTCCTGGAGTGGAGAAGCGACCGTGAGATTCCAACAACAATGGCGGCTCGCATTGAGGAAGCAAGCGTTAGCATTGATGCTGCTTTTTCTTCTGTGTTGTCCAATCTATCTGATATTGTTTCATTAAAAGAACATCAGAGAACGGCTTTGAAAGCTTTTGTTGGTGGAAACGATGTTTTCGCCCTTCTCCCGACCGGATTTGGCAAGAGCTTGATCTACCAAATGGCTCCTCCTCTCACAGCGTCACGGGTTAGCTTTGTCGTGAGTGGTTGAAATAGCACGTCAATAAAGATGACAGACAAGTGGCTTATCCAATCAAATGCAAGGAGTTTTGATAAGGCCCAGCCTTCAGTAAAGGCAATTCCTATGGCGGGTTCCCAGATGTATGTGAGTGGAGCTAGGCGGAGCGAGACATGCATCTGGCTGTTGTCAGGTTAAGCTGTGGCGCCTTTGATGCCATAAAGAAGTTAATTTTAAAGCTTTTAAGTAGTCTGTTTTCAGATTTTTTTCTTCTTAACTATATTATTGCTATTTATAAGATGTTTTTATCCAGGGTTTCACATAATTCTTCCATATTTAATTCAAATTCAACACTGCAAAAACGACCTCATTATTTATTTTTTAGTTATAAAATTACTGAACTAAAGCGGTAAATAATTGAAAATATTTGAGATTTTATTAGGATATATGCACAACAATCATAAAACGTAGAAAATGTGTTAAATATAAATGTGTTGCTCCCAAATTAGAAGTTTTAGAAAAACAGAGTAATCTAAAATATAGAAAAAAAAACAATATGATTTAAAGAAAAAAAATGTTATTTATAATATTGCTATTATATTTTGTTATGTTTTTTTATATCTGAGTTTCAACAGTGTTAAAATGAGATTATTTAAATACTGCATCATTTTTCCTGGATTAATTGCCATGTTGCTGCAGACTAAAGCGCCTTTTTTAAATCTAAATAAGTCATTTTTTCTTGAATTAAGTATTTAAGTGAGACACTTTGCCAATAGAACAAGACAATTTACACTTAAAATAAGAAAAAAACAATTGCATTGTCCTATTTCAAGTGCATTTTATCTAGGTACCTTATTTAAAGAGTAAAAATACTCATCCCATTGGCAAATCATCATATTTACCTGCTCAAATTAAGGCTAAATACTCTTAATTTAAGACATTTTTACTCATTTTGAGGTCGTTTTTGCATTGTTGAATTTGAATAAAGAATTAAATATGGAAGAATTATTTGAAACCCTGGATAAAAACATCTTATAAATAACAATAATAGTTAATAAAAGGCAAACTGACCCTTCTGAACCTGAAACTGTTAACCGGGTTGTCTGTGTACGCCTGCTGGCTCTTCTGCAGGTAAAGCCTCCACATCTGACACAGAACTTCGTCCTGAAACAAGCGGAAAAACGGGAGAAAGATCAGACGAGCGTCGGTCGGCTGCCGACGTCGGATCGACGGGAACGAGGAGAGCGGACCTTGAAGTGCGGACTGACGCCCAGTCTGAGCAGAGCCTCGGCCTGCTTCTTCAGGATCAACTGGAAAACTTCACACACCATCAACACCCTGCAGCGCTCTGAGGGACAACAGCTTATCAAAACATCTCACTGAGACAGAAATAAGCTTCAGAGGTTTTGGCTCCACAGGATAAAGAGTCCAAGATGTCCGGATGAAATACTGACCCGCCTTCTTAGCTCTGGATTTACTGGAGATCCAGGAGATTCTGTTAAAGTCACCAACGAAGGAAGTGTCCACAACCTCTTTGGTTCTCTGTGGAAATTTAGACAAAACAACACGATGAGACACTTTGGAAGAAAAACTGTGACACCTACAGGATGGATGAGGTACTGCATTGTGTAGAAGCTGCAACACTGAGAATAATTCAACAGTAGAGAGTAAAGAGGAAGGTTTGACCTTGCAAGTATCTTGTATTTATTTTGTCCTTTACCTCGATAACGTTGTGACAGGATCTGCAGTAGAAGCGTCCCTCATCTGAGATGCCCCAGTCCACAGCAGCACACTGAGCGCAGGGCTCCCTGTATTCGGCCTGATCAGAGAGACAGCACAGAGGGACGGGTGAGGGAAGGGACATGAGAACAGCTACAGTCTGACCGGATAAATGCTGACACTCAGGATATCATTAGGAACCAGCTGCAGCAACAAGCAACTCTGTTATAACACAACACAAGTGCCATTTACTCACATAAAAGTATTTAAAGTCGTAGGGAAGTCATATTTGATTTGAATGTAAAATCATTCTGGCTTAAACATGTATATAAATGTTCTCTTTATCAGATGATATTGTCCCAAAAGTTAGAAAAATTTCTATTTAAAAAGAAAATCTGTGTTTGTCTTTCATTATCTTCTGCAGGCCAGTTAGTTCTACATCAGCCTGAACACCTAAATTCGGCCAATCATATATCAACGGTCATCTGTCAATTAAATTTTTTTCAGTCATAGCATCTTGATTCATATGTCGCAGCTAATATACGCAACGGTTGAAATCAGAATCCTTTCCTTTCCCATTGAGTTGCGTCCCAGTGTTCACGGGGATGGACGTCTGTGTCTTCAGCAGGCGTAGAGCTAACAGAACTGGCAGCGTTGCGAGGCAAGGGCTCAAACATGTACGGCTGGAAGCCTTCTACACCAAACCAAGCTTCTGCCGCCCTGGCGTCCTCTTCCACAACATCTTCGTCCCCGCTTTCCTCCTCTAAAGAAAAAATGGATGACGGAGGAGACTCATCCACGACCTCCGACACTAAACTCTCCTCCTCTTGCATGTTTCCTCTGTCCATAGCGTTCCTTGACAGCGTCGTTTCTAAGTCACCAATTTAGTGCTACTTGGTCCCAATGGAATTTCCCATTGGGAACCTGCTAGCACTAAGATGCTAACTGGTTAGCAAGATGCTTCAGACAAACCGGCCACAACCAAACTTGCTTGCGAACCTTCCGCCACAACAATCCCGCCCCCTTGATAATCGACCAATCACATTCACTTTATTCACTCGTGTAAAGTCGTGCACCAATAGGGAAAATTCGGAAATTTAACCGTTGGAATGGCCGCTTCCCTGCGACCTTAAACATTGGGGGCGGACTCAGATTTCAGCTTTCAAAAACCTACAATGCAGCAATTGATTTGATTCCTTCCCGCTATCATTGCAACTCCAACCACCTTACTGGGGAACAGAAGACCTCGCCTATTCAGCCAGGCCAACAATTCCTTTTAATGACCCCCTTTCAGAGACATAGACAGGTATGGGGCATCGCAGGTTAACAAAAGCAGCCAAATGACCCCCATTCCAAAGGGGTGGACCCGTTCTTCCAGTTCAATTTGCATGTTTTCTAAGCCAAAATAAGGCTTTGTTTTTGGTCAACTCTATAAAGAATTGAACGCATCGCTATTTCTGACATTTTGAATTGAAAGAGCTTCCTGGATGGGAAGAGAAACGTCTTCAAACCCGGAAACAAAGTCCAGTGGATTGTTTTTTTTAACCTTTTTGAAAGGACTATGACCTGGATGACTGAGAATCTTCCCCAGCTAATCATGGCAATGCTTTTACCATAATCATATCAAAGATAAACAGCAAATATCTTGTATAAATATATTATAATTCTAAACTAACCGAGAAAAAGTGACTATAGATAACCATGGTTTGTCATGGAAATGCAGAATACATAAACCTACTAAATGGCCACGAAATGATATAAACATTCATGTTTTTGCTTTTAACTAAAGTATTACTTCATAATTACTGTCACCGATTGATGGACAAGATGCTGAAAATCAAGGCTAAGTATTTAATTGTCTTTATAAACGTTTGAGTTTTTTAAAATCCCTAAATGTTTTTAAAAATATAGTTTTGCCTAAGGAGTTTGGCACGAATTGACTAGCTAACACTAACCGCTATCCCTTTCCGTCACATTTAAACAGTTGCTAAAACAAAGTTTAAAATAGCTGAATACGGTCTAAGGGGAAAGAATTGCATATGTTTACTCCAAACATATCTCAAATAGATTTTGGGCCACCCTCTGTATCTGAAGCAGCACAATGTTGATGAGCCCTACCTAAAAGCAGCCATAGTAAAGCCCCCTTATTCATTTATCTGAAAATGTTTCTGCAGTGAGCGAAAACTTATTTATTGAAATCTTTTTCAGCCGATAGTTTAAAAAGCTCCTTTCGATTCAGATTTTCTTCTTACTTTTCGTTTAAAAAGACGTTACACAGTGTGTTAATAAGAAAATATTGTAAATACTGGTTTTGTCAAAGGAGTCTGGTGAACCACTAGCTTTTCTCTGGGAAATTTAGACAGAATTGCTATTTATAATATCACCACTTACTGTATCCTCTTCATCCATGACGGCAGTTAAAAACCAGGCGGTTATGTTTTGTGTTTTTTATCAGCTTTTCGTCTGCAGTCGCAGCATCATGTGGAACACAGGAGCGGCTCGGATTTCTTCTTCTTTGGTTTCCTGCAGCTTGAAACCCACACCGCCGCCCACGTGCCACTGCCACCTACAGTCGAATACAGGAACTGCAAGATCGAACCGGTTCAATAAACTTTGTGGCTTTTAAGAACTTTTTAGGATCTTTAAACCAAAGAAATTAATGTGTTTTCAAAAAGTTTCTCGAAGTGTCGGACGTGGAAATTGCGTAAAGTTGTTATAGTGTTCATAAAACAATTCTCAAAAACATTTTTTCTACTAGATTAATTATTTTTTCCACTGTCGGATTATTATTGTTGGATTATTTCTATGATGTTTCCTTTGCTGGGGTTTATAAGGTTTTACAGTCCCTCACTCTTAAAGCGGATTTAGATGAGATCAGAGATTATAAATAGGGCCGCCAGATGTTACCGCTATATTCTCTTACATAACGTCACGAAATTAGTCACTTTCAACTTTGTGTTTATTGATGTTTTATTTCAGGATTGAAGGTTTAATAAATTTATTTATATTTTTCTTTCAATTAAATCACGGCCACATCGGGGGGCTCATGTTTCACAAGTGAACTCACGCGGAACCTTTCACCAGGACGTCAAGTTCACTTCAGCAAGAATGAACACTTCCGGCTTTACAAAATAAAAGCCTTTCAGAAGCACGAAATGCTACTAATTGAGAAAAATTTATTACCGTTTAGGCATCGAAAACTATGCAAGCGCATTTTATAGAAGCTGATTGTTGCTGCTTTTTCAACACCAGTAGTTAAACATTGCGATTTGAATGTGTTAGATTTTTATTTAAAATTTTTAGATGAATATAATTAATTGACCTGGACACCTCTGGTGAGGGATCTAGAACCTACTGCAGCCCAATGCAAGTGACCCCAAAAGATGCAGATGCAAAGATTACGTATTCAATTATTTAACATTTTATCAAAAAAAAAAAAAAAAAAAAAAAAAAAAAAAAAAATTAATAAATGGAGGGAAACGGAAATTGGTTAATTGAGAACTGTTAATATCAACCAGGTCATGTACATTGAAAAATAATGCAACTGCTTTTGGCATTTACTTAATCATATTTAGTTACTTTAAGACAATTGTTTTATTCATACCCTGCTAACATGAAACAATTGTGATAAAGTAACTTAATATGATTAAGTAAATGCCAAAAGCAATTGTATTATTTTTTTCAATTAGTTCTGTTCAAGAAGAGGGTGAAGTCTTGTCTTTTGAATGTAATCGTTTTCTATGGGCTTTGGCTGTATTTTCACTAGTTTTAAAATATGTTGCTGAATCAGTTTGTCCTATGCAGAGGCGTAGCCAGAAAACTTTTATTATGGCGGCCCCGGCAGTAACCCCTGTACACTGAGGTACATCCGTGTACATTGGTTACATCTTTCTATAGGGAAAATTAAGGATCAAAACATCCATATTTTCTAAATAAAGACAAACTCTACTTTCCTATAGCCTTTGCTAACAAATAGTTGCATATATCTAAATTAAAGGTAGAGTGGATAAAGTTCTTTTCCATTGTCATTACTTTCCTTTCCGGCGGTGCGCTGTCAGTAGGAACCCCATGCAACAGCAGCCTATGACCTGGTCGCTTCCTCGCGGTTTTCCGCGGCGGCAGTTTGGTTTTCATGTATGAAATCCAAACTCCAGGCACCAGGATAATAAAAGCAAGGTTTCTACATTCTAAGTTCATTTAGGCGTTAATAAACAGTTTCAGAGGAGTGATCATAGCGCTCTGCATCAGCAGTGCTGTGTCTGACTCCCTGCCAGCTCCCAGATCAGCTTCTCTGATTGGTTGATGTGGCGCGTCCAGCAGCTAAAGTTAAATTTTTCCAACTCCAGCAGTAGCTGCGTTTGCGGCGCGTCGTTCGCAACAGATGCTTTAACGCTCCCAATGCGATGCTTCAGCTGCTCAAAATACGGGACCTTTTTTATATGGCAAGCCAAGAATGCCACTATTCGCATCTAATTATCACGTTAAGATTGAAATTCACTCGCTAAAAGAGCCCGTTTTTCCAGAATTTTTTTATTTTTACCGGCAAGCGCCGCTTTTTACGTCCGCCATGATGGTACCGCATGATGCGCGTTCCTAGTGACAGGTCAAAACGCGCGTTCTTGACGCGTGCTCTGACCCAGACAACGCAGCAGTTGCTCCATGGCTGTAGAAAGCATTATGAGCTTTGGAAAAGGTTAGTGATATGAAGGAAACATACAGAAAACAAGTCAGAGAGACACATTTTCTGGAACACAAATGGCCCCTTTATTGTCATTCTTTTAGCACAATGTAAAATGTTTTTAAATGAATGAATGAATGGCGATGGATCAAAAACAACAGTGAAGTGGCCTACATTTATGGATCATATTCTCAAAAAAACAAACAAAACAAAAACTACGAATTGGGCTTGACTAGAGACAAGTTAGAATATAAAGGGAAAAGTCAAACTACCTAAGCGGAATTCAAACCTGTATTGAAGCAAAAACTATGCATTACATGCGGTCACTTTAAACACTGCGCCACGTCTGAGTTGCTAAACCCGGTGAACTCTTCCTACTAATACCTGTAGAGAAAAATGTTTTTACATGAAGATATGCATGGAAATGGATTCAAAATAACAGCAAAGTGCATATAGTGGATATATTCCTAAAACTAAGGCTTTGTGAAACGACAAGGCAGTAAACTTTGGTAACGCTGCCACACAGAGCTCTGTACAGTTTTCCACAAAGCAGAACTATCTTGGTCTGGCTGCCTTGACCAGCGATTGGATGCAACCAGTTCAAATGCATTGGCTGTGGGAAAAGGAAGGACATTATTATCATATATACTAGGAAAACGCGCATCAAGAACGTGCATTCTGATCTGTCACTACACGCATTAAGAAAGCGCGTCTTGCGGTACCATCATGACGGTAAAAAATGGCAAAAAAAAGCAGCGAAATTTCAGAAAAAACTGCGCTTTTAGCGAGTGAATTTGAATCTTAACGTGATAATTAGATGCGAATAGTGGCATTCTTGGCTTGCAATATTTTGCTGCACCTTGACCCATCAACCATTGACTTTGCATTTAAACTAGCTGCCTCTGCTGCTTTTGGTGTGAAAGCATGCATTAGTGTCCCCAACAACTTTCTTCACAAAGTTGCACCTTTCGGCAAAGTCTAAGCTGATTTCATCAAGGCTGAGGAATTCGGTGCTTTTTTTTTGGAGACCAACAGCTCTACTTCCGCCGTGGATCTCGCTAACTTTCCTTACAGCCTCTCGGTCTTCCTGGTTCCGTGGAGTTGGAGTTCCTCTCCCTGCGTGTTTCTGGAGCTAACAATGACTTCATCTGATCTGGATGCAGGAGAACTTGGCTTTTTCCTCCGCAAAATGTGACTGAGGTCGGAAGTGAGCGGCTGATCCTGGAGCAGACGTTTGCGGACCTCTTCCTCCTCTCCAGCCCGTCAGTCAGTCTGTCCGACATGGGAGCGAAACTTTGGGTGTTTTTGTCACTTTTTACGGGTTTTCTCTCTCTAAGGGAGGCCGCTGTGTCTCCGGCTGAAAGCAAACAGCAGCAGGAGTTCGGTAAGCGCTCCAAACATGGAGGTCTAAATGAAAACCTGCTGACTGAAGTTAGTTCTCTGAGCAACACTTGATTTTTGTCGCGAAGTTTTATGGAAGCCCGTTAGTGTCAAAAGTATTACGGAGTATTAGGGCCAGGCTAGAGATTGTTTTTCTTCTATTACGAGAATAAAGTAAAATTAAAATAATAAAATTGTAACATTACTAGAATAAAGTCGTAAAATTAAGAGAATAAAATTGTAACATTACGAGAATAAAGTCGTAAAATTAAGAGAATAAAATTGTAACATTACGAGGATAAAGTCGTAAAATTAAGAGCATAAAATTGTAACATCATGAGAATAAAGTCGTAAATTTAAAAGAATAAAATGATAACATTACAAGAATAAAGTTGTAATATTTCAAGTATAAAGTCATCATCGAGTCAAACAATTTAACCTGAAAGATCCAACATGTTTGTTAAACATTAAAACTGTAGCCTACTTTAAAGCTGAAACTACTGAATAGTTTTCATCCAAATAAAAAATTATCTTTGTTTTATTGTTTTTCTTTTGCTGATATTATTATTAAACTCACTTCTTTCATACCCTTTTCATATAGTAGATTAATTCAGAAAAAGAAACAATAAAAAAAATTGGAATAATTCAAAAAGTTTTAAAACTTTGACGCAAATCAATAAAAAAAAATGCTATTTAATAAAATATGTTTTTTTTTGTAATTTTTTTGACTGCCCAACCTAAATGAAAAAAAATATGGCTGAATTTTCTATCAAGTTTTCTGTTTGTTTCTTAGTGGTGAGAATAGTTAATTAAACTTTAATAGTTGTTGTTGTAGAAATATGTCTTTCTTATTTTTTGCATAACAACCATCACATCTTACTATAACCTTCACTGGTCTACAAGCTGCTGATATCTACTGAACTGACCTCCACTGAACCTGTAGGGGGAGATCTACATATAGCCCATAGAGTAGAGAAGAGACAGAATGCTCGCTCCTGTTAGCTCGTTGACTCGCAGCAGTAAGAGTTTCTAATGAAAGATGGGCTTTTACAAATCTCTGCAGGAGTTAAGTCCAGTCTCTTCATTTGTTAAATATAAAGCCTCATTTCCTCCGCCCTTTGGCCTGAGCTCGGTAACCAAGAAAATGGAACGCACACTGAACTGAACCGCGCTAACATGGCACTAGGCCATCAGTCACGCTCGGCACGGCTCAGTTCTGGCTCAGTTCTCAGATAACTAGTACCCCATTTACGCTACCCTTGAAAAACCGATCCTTTCCTAGACCCGTCCGAGCTCGGATCAGTTAACCAGGCCGAGCTCGGTTCTGACGACCGTTTACACATCACGCTATCTCGTATCCTCGCCTCCTTGCCTCCTAGTGTCGATCTGCGGTATTACTGCCAGTATTGAAGGAGGAAATCAAGCAGTGGGTGGCGGTAATGCACCAAAAGTTGTTTGCCAACCGCTATAAA